CGCGCGCGCGNGCGCGTCGTCGTCGCGCGCGCGCGCGCGCGACGCGCGCGCGTCGTCGCGACGCGGCGNGNGGNGGGNGNGNGNGGNGGGNGGGGGGGGGAGGGAGAGAGAGGGGAACGAGGGAGGGCGATTGGACCGCGGTAAGTCGCCCGTGCAGTGGCTGGTACGAATGCCCCGGGCAGGACGATAGACTCACCTCCAGCTCTGCCTCGCGGCGTGCACTGTCCTCGGCCTCGAGCTGCTCGATTCTTGTCTGGATGTACGTCGTCAGGCTCTCGCGCAGGTGCGATGCTAGTGTAAACACCATGGCCATGCCTAACGACTCTTGCGCCTGTCAGAGCGAGCGAGCGACGACGAGAGAGGGTCGATCTTCGTCAGCACTGTCGCACAGCCAGCGAACGCGATGCAGGATCCTTGAAGAACACGCACCACCTCGAGAAGGTCCGCCGTCAGTTTTGTGATGCTCTCTCTCGTCTCCTCGTCCTCGTCCTCGCCCGGCTCTGGCACCGCCTGGTCCTCTTCGGTCGCCTCGCCCAGGATTCCCTTGACGTCGCGCACGACAAAGATGCGCACATCTGGGGGCTGGTCCGGGTAGTCGTCCGTGTACCGGATCCGCAGCGAGAGCTCGACGGGTGCAGGCGCGTCTTCCTCCGGCTCTGGTGCCGTCTCGCCGAGGGGGACGCCGACCGAGTAGATGGAGGGGATCACGTCTTCTTCTGGCTCGATCCGGATGCGCAGCTCCTCGGCGGACACCTCTGCGGTACGGCGCGGCGATTGATCAGATCAGCGTGAGGCGCATGAAGGAGCGTGGGGAGGCCACCTGGGACTCACTGTGCAGCTCGTCGACATAGATGCTCTCTAGCACCTCGAGCTCCTCGGCGAGGACCTCGTCGTGCTCCTCTTTTGTCGGCATGGCTGGCGTGGCAATGTGGCAGTCCTTCACGGCTGCTGAAGAGCGTTGAAGCTTCCGAACTGCTATATCTCTCGAGTGGGCCCCTGTTGCGATCGCGGGTGTCGAGGGCGGAGGGTGGGACGAGAGCGGGTGGCAGGTGGAGAATGAGAGGCAGGGGGACCCTACGGGTGCGAGGCCCCTCCGAGGCTGCTCGACCCTATCCCCCGTCTGGAAAAGCGAGGCTTCGGATCCGTGCGCGCCGCTGTCAATGGGTCGTTTCTCGGAAGACGGAGGCTGGGCAGAGTCAGCTCCACATGGATCGACCACCAACCAGCTCGGCTTCGGGCTTCGGTCGGAAGTTGGGCCGACGAGTCACGGGCGCACCGACCATGACTCGCTCATTCCTCTCCCCGCCCAGCTTCCCTCGTCTTCCTCCATGCCGGTGACGGAGGCTCGACATCCGACCAGTACAGCCATCTCTCCCGATTCGGAACTCGGCCACCGGCCTGCGTTCGGCTAGCATTCCGAATCCGCATGGCTCGCGTCCTCGTCAAAGACGCCGACGTCCAGCACCTCGCACCTCGACGGTCGCTCCTCCTCGCGACGAGTCCTTCGTCCTGTCCTGTAGACCAAGGAGCAGGGCAGCAAGGTACATCGAGAAGGTACAAATATGCGGCCTTAGAGCTCGACCGGAACAGTACTCGCAGCCCCAGCTTGCCACACCAAGTACCACCCCATCTGACACAACCATGGCCGACCCTGCCGACGAGCAGCTCATCCAGCCCCTCGTGGGCGCCATCCCGCCCTCGGTCGTCTCGACGAGCAAGATGCTCAAGACCTACTCCAAGCTCGTCGCCGTACTCGCCGACTATGCCCGCTCGGATCGCACCGATGCGACGGCCACCGCAGCGTTCGAGAAGAAGATCCGACCCATCCTCACAGACTCCGGGTGCGGTAGGAAGGCCGTCTCGGAGATCGTCGAGGCCTGCTCAAAGGTCAGCATGCCCTCACCTGCGTCGAAGCTGGACAGCAAGGAAGATGACAAGGACGTCAAGGCGGCAGCGGACTCGATGCAAAACCTGACCCTCGATACAGCGAGACCCAAGACTGACCAGGCCGACGGGGCTCCGGCCACGCAGAAGCCCAAGAAGGCTGAGCGAGCTACCGTGAAGAGCAAGACCGACTCGACGGCGGCGACCGAGACGACCTCATCAACCATATCAAAGCAGAGCAGCCTTGCTCCGGACGCCAAGGACGCGCACCTCAGCCTCATCCATGCCACGAGCCAGGAGTCGCGCTTCTACCTCGATGCGACCGACACGGCCTCGCTCGAGGTGGACCTTAAGGACGTGACCATCACCCTGGCCGGCCGCGAGCTGCTCCAAAACGCCCACCTCCGCCTCAAGTCTGGCGTGCACTACGGCCTCGTCGGCCGCAACGGCAGCGGCAAAAGCACCCTCCTCGCCGCCATCGGCGAGCGCATCATCCCCGGCCTGCCCAACGGACTCAAGATCCTCCTCGTCAGCCAGATCGCAACGGCGCGCCAGGCGGCCGAGAGCGAGGCCAACTCGGTGCTCGACGTCGTCGTGCGCAGCGACCTGGAGCGCACTCGGGCAGAGGCCGAGGTTCAGGCGCTCAATGCCGTGCTCGAACAGTCGACGGTGGCAGAGGATGGCGTGCGCGATGCCGTGCTTCGCCTGCGGTTGAGACGCGCGACGGACCGGCTTGAAGAGGCGAGGAAGATTGCTATCAAGCGCAGTGGCGCTCGCGGCGCATTGGCACGGAAAGACCTCGTTGCGGCGGAAAGAGAGCACGAAGAGGCCAAGGCTGATGTCGAAAGGTGAGCCAGGGCGAGCGACGAAGCAGAGAGAAGCGTTGCTCGCGCTGACATGGATGACTCCTTCCCGTCCGCGCGGATCATTACTCCCGGCAGAGCAACCGAGATGCCGCTCGACGGAAGCTGGACCGAAGAGGCGGCCAAGATGCTGCTCGACGCGCAGAGGCTCCTCGAGAGCGTCGAGGCCAACACCACCGAAGCGCGGGCGCGCAAGATCCTTCACGGCCTCGGCTTCAGCGCGAGCCGGATCGAAGGGCCCTACAGCGCCCTCTCTGGCGGGTGGCGCTCGCGCGCCTCGCTCGCCGCCGCGCTGCTGCAGCCCGCGCACATCCTCCTGCTCGACGAGCCGGTCAACTACCTCGATCTGCCCGCCGTCCTGTTCGTGCAGACCTTCATCAAGGACGTGCCGCACACGGTCGTCACCGTCAGCCACGACCGCGAGTTCCTCGACGAGGTGACCGACGAGCTCATCATCCTGCGCCAGTCTAGCCTCTCGTACCACTCGGGCAACCTGACCGAGGTGGAGCGCGAGAAGCGCAAGAAGCGCAAGCACGCGCTGCGCCAGCAGGAGGCCCTCGACCGCAAAAAGGAAAAGGTGCAGAAGTCGATCGCCGACGTCGCCAAAAAGGCGAAAAAGTCGGGCGACGACAACAAGATGCGCATGGTCAAGAGTCGCCAGAAGAAGCTCGACGACCGCTGGGGTCTCGAGGTCAACGCCAAGGGCCACCGCTTCAAGCTCAACCGTGACCTCGGCGGCTACCACCTGACGAGCCGGGGCGGTGTCGAGATCGAGACGCTCGACTCGGAAATCAGCTTCTTCTTTCCTGACCCCGATGATCTGCGCTTTCCGGGCTCGCTGGTCCACATGGAGAAGGTGTCGTACCGCTACGAGGGGGCGCCCAAAGCTACGCTGAGGGACGTCAACCTCACCATCGGACCGGGCGAGCGGGTGGCGCTGGTCGGACCCAACGGACACGGCAAGACCACGCTCCTCAACGCCTTGACGGGCAAGCTGACTCCGACCGCCGGCAAGGTGGAGCGGCACAGCCGCGTCAAGATTGCCATCTACGCGCAGCACACCATCGAGGACCTGTTGTCGTCGTGCCGCGCCGCTCTGGCTGCGGCGGGTGTCAGCACTGCTGCGACGTCGACGGTCGACGCCGCTGGTCTCGGAAAAAAGAAGGGATCTGTCGCTGTCGCTGCGACGATCCCGGGCACGACAGCGCTGAGCCACTTTTTGGCGAGCACCGATGGCCGCGTGGACGAGGCTCAGGCGCGCGCCTTTCTGGGCCAGCTCGGGCTCAAGGGCCGGACGGCGGACACGGTGCTTCTGACCGGACTGAGCGGAGGGCAGCTGGTGCGGCTGGGACTGGCCGAGGTGATGTGGTCTGCGCCAGACCTCGTCATTCTGGATGAGGTGACGACGCACCTCGATGCCGACACCATCGATGCGCTCGTGCGCGCGCTGCGGTCGTACCGCGGCGCCGTGCTGCTCGTCAGCCACGACCGGTACGCCGTCAAGCGGATCATCGAGATGGCCAAGGACCCCGCCGCGACTGGAGGTGGCGACTCGGACGATTCCGACTCGGACGACGACGAAGACGACGGTGCGGATGTAGACGAGGATGAGCTGGAGCCGCACCGCAAGCCGGGCCGGACCTACCTCGTCAAGGACGGCACAATGCGGCTGCTGGAACGGGGCATGGACGAGTACACGGACTCGGTGGTCAAGAAGGTGCTGGGGGGAAGCGGACCTGTCTAGCCAACCAGCCTGCCCACCGAAGGACGGCGGACTCAGCCAGCATGGCGGGATCGATGGTCAAGTACGGCGATGCTGCTGCGGCCGCTCGGACCTTCCCTCCTGGCTTCGCCGTGGCTTGCTGCGAAGGGATCATCGTGTCGGAATGCATCTTTGTTGCGGTCGCATGTGTTGGGTGTCGACGCGGTCAGAGCACAGTGAAGAAGAGATAAAAACTCTGGGCGGGCAGGGTCGAGGCGCAGCGTTCCCCGCGCGAGGCGGGCGGGCCGACGGGCGGGGCAGCGGCGCAGTTTGCCGGTCGGGGTCGCCTGCCCGCCTGCCGGGCCCCGGACGTCGCCGTCGAGCGGGGGCGTTCCTCGGCCTCGATTGGCGAGAAAGACGCTGAACCGCTTCCGTCAACCGACCGGATCGCCGCCGTCGGACGCTCCGAACAAGGCAGCAGCCCGGATGCTGCTCGTGTTCGGATCGTGCCGCGAAGACGGTTGGGCGGTACGAGGGAGAAAGAAGTGAGGGCCGGCCAAGATTAAGATTGCCGAGCGAAGAAGAGGTCCCGGCGCCCTCACTCACTTCTGGACCGGCGATCTTTGTGGTTTTGGAAGGAAGGTGGCCAGGGGCGCACGCGCCACATCTCCCTCAGCCTCAGCCTCCGTCTGCTGCTGGGCCGGAAACGTCGACGGCCGGTCCACCAGGCTGCACGCGACACATGGTGGAGCAGCCCGAGGCGCTCTCGGGTTTCTTCCCGCGCTCGTTCGCTGGGACCGTATAAGACGCAGCTCTGGCCCTACATCCTCCCTCTCCTTCGATCCCCACCACCAAGTCAGCCCCGACCCCCCTCCTTTTTCGCCCACAACCGCAACCGCCTTCCCCACCGCCCGCACGCCATGTCCGCTCCCTCGACACTCCCCGGCAACCCGGCGCCGCACGCCCAGCCTCTGGGCCTGGACAACTCGCTCCCCACCCAGCCCGCCAAGGGCAACACGTCGTTTGTGCTCCAGGAGATCGAAAAGGTCAGCTTCGAGGACCGGCCCATCGTCGCACCGGCGCGCGGACAGGTGCAGGTCAACATCCGCCAGACGGGCCTCTGCGCCTCGGACTGCCACTACCTCCACCACGGCCGCATCGGCGACTTTGTCGTCCGCAAGCCCATGGTCCTCGGCCACGAGTCGAGCGGCATCGTCACGGCCGTCGGCGAGGGCGTCGACACCCACAAGGTCGGCGACCGCGTCGCCCTCGAGCCGGGCGTCCCCTGCCGCTCCTGCCCCATCTGCCTCAACGGCGACTACAACCACTGCCCCAAGCTCGAGTTTGCCGCCACCCCGCCCTACGACGGCACCCTCTGCACCTACTACAACATCCACTCGACGTTTGCGCACAAGGTGAGTGGGCGCTGCTCGTGGCCAAAACGCCATGGACGGCGCTGACAACCACCTCGTTCTGTGATCTCCGTTCATGTGTCCTTCTTCCGCTCCCCGGCGACAGGTCCCGGATACGATGACGCTCGAGGAGGCGAGCCTGATGGAGCCGCTCAGCGTCGCCGTCTACTCGGCAGCGATGCGCGGCCAGGTCAAGGCGATGCAGAACGTGCTCGTCTTTGGCGCCGGCCCCATTGGCCTGCTGGCGGCGGCCGTGTGCAAGGCCTACTCTGCCAAGCGCGTCGTCGTCGTCGACGTCATTGACAGCAAGCTCGAGTTTGCCAAGACGTTTGGCGCCACCTCGACCTTTAAGCCCTCGATGCCCAACGCCGGCGAGAGCAAGATGGACGCGTCGGTGCGCAACGCCAACACCCTCCTTGAGCAGATTGGCGACGACGTGCTGCGCAAAGAGGGCTTCGACCTCGTCCTCGAGTGCACCGGCGCCGAGCCCTGCATCCAGATGGGCGTCTGGGCGCTCCGACCAAAGGGCCGCTTTGTCCAGGTCGGCATGGGCCGCTCCGAGGTCGAGTACCCCATCACGCGCATCTGCGTAAAGGAGCTCGAAATGACCGGCTCCTTCCGCTACGGCGCCGGCACCTACGAGACCTCCATCGCCCTCGTCGCCAACAAGCTCATCGACGTCACCAGGCTCGTCACCCACCGCTACCTCTTTGACGACGCCGAAAAGGCCTTTGCCACCACCACCCGCGGCAAGGGCGAGGACGGCCAGACGGCCATCAAGGTCCAGATCAGCCAGGGACCCGGCCAGGCGTAGGCCTCGATGCCTCGCTCTGTGGCTGTAGCTCCCGGCCTTCTCTCTTTTCACGCTCAGCTGTCTCTCTCTGCTTCCTCGGGTCTTTGTTCCTCGTTCAGCATAATATAGGTGTGTAGGGATTGTTCACAGGAGAGTCGCAATCGCAAACCGTCTCTTGCAGGGCAGCCGCCGCGAGGCGAAGCGAGACCTCCGCCTCGCGGTGGCGACGACGAAGGGCAGGCTGCGGTGGCTCAACGGCGGTGGCGACAGTTGGGGCTCGCTCTACTCCTTCGTGGTGCGGGGCACGTCGGTGGTCGGCCCGAAGCCGAGGACTTGCGATGGCATCGATGAGGAAAGAGGTAGAGCGCGGGTGCCGGTCAGCCTCAGATCCTCATCGCCTCAGAAGCGCTGCTGCTGGAACACTTACGGCGCGTCAGGCTGAGGCGGAAACGCGGTTTGCCCGTAGCGAAGCCGGCCTTGTCCTTTCCGCCTTCGCGGCTCCAGAAGCCGAGACCGAAGCAGACAAAGAAGAAGTACTGCGAGGGCGGCAGGGAGGGGGTCCAGTGCGGACAAGGGGTGGTACGGTCAGCTATCCTGCGCCGGCGGTCGGTCGATGGGCGATGGCGCGCGCGCAGCGGGCCACCCACCTTGAGCCTCTGGAAGCGGAAAAAGAGGAACGAGACGAGCCAGATGCAGAGCTCCATGTAGGTGAAAAAGTCGAGCTGGCCGCCGGGCGCCCTCTCCTTGATGAAGTGGATCAGGTCGACCCAGAGGCGCATGTCCTTGGGCTTGGGCCGGCACGCCGGGTCCATGAGGAAGAGCATCAGGGTGCGCGCCATGATGCCGATGTGGACGTGGCCGACGGTGCCGACGGCGTCCTTGAACGTGGCGTTGGTGCACAGCACCGAGGAGTCCTCGATCGGGAACACCTGCAGGTACATGTTGGGGCGCACGTAGTCGTCCGGGAAGAGGTCCTGCGGCAGGAAGTCGATCGATGGCCTCTCAAAGCCCGTGGCGACGACGATGACGTCGGCGTCGTAGTGCACCTTTTTGCCGTCGTCGCCCTTCTTCTGGCCGCGCGTGCGCTGGTTGAACGAGATGCCGCTCTCGTCGAGGTCGAGCACGTCGCCGCGCTGGTAGTCGGCCTTGCCGTGCCGGATGTGGTAGAGGGCCGACGTGTTGACGATGGGCGTGCTGGTGTAGAAGCCCTGGGTAGGCGCCATCTTTTCCTCGAGGTCGCGGTAGTGGAGCTTCTTGAGCAGCAGCTCCGGGATCCACGACAGCCACGTCTCGCGGCCCAGAGGCTGCAGGCTGAGCAACACGTTGACGAGGGTGAGGCGCGGGATGATCCACTTGTCGCTGCGGGCGAGGATGAGCGGCTTGTCGGCGCCGTTTTCGACGGCGAGCTCGAGCGCCTCGATGCCGCTGGCGCCTCCGCCGACGATGAGGACCTTTTTGCCCTTGAGGTCGAGGTCGTCGAGCTGGCTCGAGTGGACAATCTTGCCCCTGAACTTGTCCTGGTTGGGCAGGTCCATCTGCTTGGGCTTGCCGCAGGTGCCCGTGCAGCAGACGAGGCCGTCAAAGACCTCGTCGTCGTTGCCGTTGATGACCCAGCGGGCGTGGCCGCCCTCCTTGGGGTCCGTCGACGAGTGGTGGCGGGTGACCTTGTCGATCTTGGTGTTGAAGCGGGTGCGGCGGTCCAGGTCGTACGTTTTCCAGATGCGCCGGGTGTTGTCGAGGATCTCGTCACGCTTGGGGTAGCCGCGCGTGTACTTGACCAACGGGTGGAAGCGGTACATGATGGAGCTGATCTGGAGGCCGCTGGTCGAGTTGACGCGCGACCAGATGCCGCCGACCTTGTCGCCCTGCTCAAAGATGGTCACCTCGAAGCCATGGCCGATGAGGTGCGAGGCCGTCGAGATGCCCGTGATGCCGGCGCCGATGACGGCGACGTGGCCCAGCGGCTTCTGCTTGGCTTGCTTGGCTGCGGTGGCGGTGAGGTGGGGGCGACGGGGAATAGACCGGGAGGTGCACGGTGATGCGGGTCAGGTTGCCTGCCCGCCCGACGACTCCAGCGCCAGCGAGGAACGAGAATCGAGCGACCACTCACCCGGCGTGTACGGCGCAAAGAGGTAGGCGATCAGCACCTGGATCCACTGGTAGACCCGGCTGACGATGTTGAAGTAGTCTAAGCTGCTGATGGCCATGCTGGGCGATGGTCGAGGTGGTCGGATCGATCACGGCCTCTCTGTCAAAGGTGACTATGGTGTCGGTTGGTGGTGGAGAAGGGGGAAGACGTTGCCGCGACGAGCCTGGTTTTGTTCCTGCTCGGTCGCGCCGCTTTCGAGCAGGCCAGTCGCAAAGCTTCGCATGTTTCACGCCCATCGGAAAGGCCGAGGGTGTGGCTGGTCTGCAGGCAGGCACGCACGCCCCGTTCGCAGACCCTTACATCACACCGCCGCGCCCTGCATACCTCTTTGGGGGGTGGCTGGCCTCCACAAAAATTGCACGCACGCAGGCGGCCATCGCATCGCTGCACAGCGACACAACCGGCAAGCAAGCAAGCTGGCGTGGCCGCCCGGCAGACGAGCAGGCAGGCGGGCCGAGCCCAAGCCTCGAACGTTTTCGGGAAGAAACATGGGCGGGTTCGGGAAGCCAGACTTGCCTGGTGGCCAGGCTCCCGACTCCTGAGGTGCGATAGCGAGCAGGCAAGAGAGGAACGGCAGGCTCGGCTTGCAATGGTCCAAGGCAGGCGCGCGGACATCTGCACTCCATCGGCGCTGCCCATCAACGCTCACAGGATCCTGCCGCTGCCTCGACATCGGAAGCATGTCTCGTCGCCAAACCAGAAGCTGTCGAGCAAGAAGCCGAGGGTGGACGGGCATCAGCAAGGTGCGTCTTCCGTTTCCTGGCGGCAATTCACGGTAGGGGCACAGACAGTTGCTCACCTTTCAGTCATGCCACGCCCGCCGCACTCGAAGCAGAGCCGTCCACCGATCCTCGGGTCTCCCGGCATGACCACGAGCGCCCCTGGCGGTGGCCGGCGCCCGGAATGGTTGACGTACACCGGCCGCCCCATGCCCTGGTGCTGGGGCGGATGCGGACCGTATCCGTACCCGTAGCCTGGACCTGCGCCTGGCGGGCTCTGTGGATAGCCGCCGGGAGGCCCGTGGGGAGGTGGCGAGTGCATCGGGGCTGGTCCGGCTCCCGGAGGCGGTGCTGCTGGCGGGACATACTGGGCGGGCAGCCGTTCGTGCTCGCCGACGTTGCTGGCGTCTGTGTACGTCGGCGGGGCATCTGGCATCCTCGAAGCTTCCGTCTCGGCATCCGACCGTTGCACTGCTGGTTGCTGAGGTGGCGGCGGCCGGGGTGGAGCGCTGTAGGGCCCACTTGGGTAGCCATAAGGCGGCTGGTGAGGCGGTGGACTCCAAGGACCTCCTCCCGTTGCGCCCGGATACCCTCCCGGAACGTAGCCGTGACTCGGTCTCGATGGCCAGCCGCCACCGACCGGTGGCCCGAATCCGGAGGAGTAGGTATGGTGCGGCACGGCAGGGGCATGGACGATGGGCAGCGGTTTCTGCAGCTTGAAGGTCGGATCATTGAGGCCGACCGAGTAGCTCAGAGCGCCGCTGAAGGTCTTGCCGTACTTGTCCCAGCACTATCCAAGCGTAAGTGTGAGGGCAAGCAGGCGCGTATCGTCAGGATTGGCGCCACCGGAAGCGACGAAGGGGCGCAGGCCACTCACCTTTCTGCACGGATGAGTCGGGTCGCCGTGCTTGTACCCAGTGTCACCACCTGTACGATGGACACCAGCGGGGTCACCGTCCGTCAGTATGTGCATCGCAGGGCACGTGTATCGAGACAGGGCTCACATTTGTGGCACCCCGTCCAGCTTTTCGGGTAGACGAGCAGCTTGCCATTCCGGAGCAGGGGCTGGCCGGGCGTTGGAGCAGTCGTTGGACGATACTGGTTCTGCTGAGGTCGCGCTGGCGGCCTGGAGGCGGATTGAGGAGATGTCGGAGAGGAGGCAGCTGGTGGACCAGACGGCGGCGGTCTGCCGGGCGGAGGCTGGTAGGCGCTACCGTTCGGACTCACGAAGCTCGCAGGGCGGGAGCTGGAGGCGAGAGATCCAGGACTCGTTGGTTCCGCCGGCCGATGCGCAGCTGCCGAAACCGAGCCTGGCCTTGCTACATCGGTGGAAGCGCGACCGTTGGCACTGGTAGTAGTGTAAAGGGAGGAGCCGTTTGAGGGTACACGACCGAGATCGGCGCCGGAACCGGTCGCGTGAGGGGAGAGAGCGCTAGTGGTGCTCCCGGTGGCGCTGTTGTACCGGCGGGGAGGCAGCTCGGGCACCGGAGAGGCGGCCGTAGCCGGCGGAGAGGTCTGAGAGGATCTTGAGAGGGGGTTCGACGATGCAGAAGGCGAGGAAGCTGTGCCGCCTTCTGCTATGCTGAGGAACGGGTTGGTGCTGGCGCCGGTCCTCTGCGGAGCGATTGAAGGAGCGGCGGGGGCGGCGGCTGGATTTGGGCCATCGAGATGCTGGGCGGCAGTGGATGAGCCTGTCTCTGCAGCGATGGCCTCGTAGGCAGGCGGAGGTTCGTCTGGGATGTCGGCTGGGTGCACCATGATGGGCGAGATGCTGCCAATCTGTCCTACAAGGGGTTGAAGGGTTGACCGAAGATGCGGCTTGATCCAAGCAGAGGATGCCGCGCGCCTTTGCGGCAGTTCGATCTACTCTGTCGAGGGAGATGGCAGGTGGTGGTGGTGGTGGTGATGCAGCTGCCCGCAGAATCGACTCGAAGGGGCCAGGTGGGTGGGGCGGCCATGCCTGATGGCCAGCAGCATGTCGAGGCCAGGCACAGGGCTCTTGGCGCAGCTGGCCCGGCCTGGCTTGAGCAGCGGGCTGTGCTTCCGCAGAGAAGCGCGCGCCTGGCCGTGCGCCTGGGCTCAGTGTGGAGCAGCCAAGAATTCGGATGTCGGGTCCAAAGAAAGTCGCAGACATGGCCATGGCCCCCGCCCGCTCGTTCCACCCTTGGCATCCGACCACCACCTCACTAGCCCTTGAGCGGCCCACACGACCGACCCAAGCATGTCAGTCACGCTACATACAAGCCTCGGGGACCTCAAGGTGAGCCTTCAGCGCCCTCTGCCCGCTTTCAGACCGGGACGCTTTGCTGATCCGCCTCCCTTGCACGCGCCAGATCGAGGTGTTTTGCGAGACGGTGCCCAGGGCAGCAGAGAACTTCCTCGGACACTGCGCAGCGGGGACATACGACGATGTCAAGTGGCACAGGAACATCAAGGGTGAGCATGCTCGTTGATCCGGGCCGTCGACACGGAAGTATCGCTGACCCGATGTCCGCACATCGCGCTCGCTGCCACAGCCTTCATGATCCAGGTACGTCCACCTCTCGGCACATGCGTCGTATCCGCGCACGTCGCTCACACCTGCTCGATCTCTCTCCCATTCTCCTATGCTTGGAACAGACGGGCGATCCGACCGGTACAGGCAAAGGCGGCCAGTCGATATGGGGCAAGCCGTTCGCCGACGAGATCCGGGCGACACTCAAGGTAAGCTGCGCCGCCACGGGCTTCGCGCCGTTCTCGTCGTCCCATTCCCTGACACCGATATTCGCCTGCTGCTGGCCCTCAGTTCAATGCCCGGGGCATCGTGGCGCTGGCCAATTCGGGTCCCAACACCAACAAGTCGCAGTTCTTCATCACGTACGCCAAGCAGCCGCACCTCGACGGCAAGTACACCATTCTCGGCAAGGTCATCGATGGCGCCGAGGATGGCGGCACGCTCGACGCCATGGAAAAGGTGCCCGTCGACGAAAAGAACCGTCCCATCCACGAGATCCGTATGAAGGGCGTCACAATACATGCCAACCCGGTTGCCGCCAAGGCCAGCGGGCGGTAGCAGGCAAACCCGTGCAATGGAAACAGACGTCAACGAGAGCCGAAAGCGATGTCAGCGATGGCGTGCCACCGCTGATGCACTGTCCGCCCGTCAGAAGCTCGAGATCGAGCAAGGACGACCCTTTGCTTTCGAAACAAGGAAAAGCGACAGTGAATTTCGGGCAAGGACAGTGAAGAGGGCCTGCAGAGAGGCCGTGCGGGCAGCCGGACAAGGAGCGATGAGGTGGTCGGAAGCAAGTTGGGTGGCGGCAACGGCGATGCAAGCCAAAGAAGCGGATGCTCTACCGCCCAGGCACGACGCCGTCAGTGCCTTAGGTAGCAGTGCGAGCTCCTCATGACGATGCATAGCCGTTGATGGCCTGGTACGGCGCCTGCCCAGGTGCGTACGAGGCGGATCCGCTGATCTGACCAGCGCCCGGGGCGAACATATTCGGGTCGGCCTGGTGGAAGCTGACCGCCTGCGAAGACGATGCAGGAGCTCCTCCCGCGCCCTGCTGCGCGGCATTGCCGCTGGCGGCGGCAGCGACGGCGGCATCACCGGCTGGATCCTGGACGCCGAAGAGTTGGGGGTACTGCGCGACGGCCTGCGTCATGGGAATCGGGCCGCTCCACCCTTTCAGCCAAATCCACGTGGCTGCGGGTCGCAAATCAAGCGGGTCGGGAACTCAGCTGGACGTTTCGCGTTTGCAGACCACATCAAGACCGAAATGGCGGTGCTGTCGACTCACGATTCTTGCACGACCCATGGTCATGCTGGCCGGGCTCAGTGTGGAACAGCGTGTCCGCGAATCCTCGCTTCCTCCTGACGCCATTGCAGAAGGAAACAGGGCCGGGATTAAGGTCGTCAGACTCCAGCAGCCCTCCTGAGGGCCATGCGGCGAATAGGTTGACTTACAGGCCTCCTACCCGGATCTTGCCCGATTCGGGGTCGACGGCTGCGACAGAGGTAAGCAGAGCCGCCTGTCAGCAGGCCCATTCCGCAAACGATATGCCAAGAGGGACGAATGGCGATACCCACGAATCACTCGTCCCTCCTTGGTGCACAGATAGTTCCTCGTCGCCCACATGAGGTAGCGATCCTTAAACGCGCTGCCCAGGTTGCGGGCAAAGAGGCGACGAGAGGACGTGTGGCGGTGGCCGACGACGCCCGGAGTCTGTTGGCTAGAGCTTGGCAGGGGAGTGGCTGTGGTGATTGCGGAGATGAGTGCGAGACAGACAAGGAGGGTAGGGAGCAAGCCATGATGGCCGCTGTAGCCAACCTTGCCGGGCATCATCGCAGAGAGACGGGGAGAGACCTCCAGAAGAGGTGGGGAGAGGCGGCGTTGGGAGCGATTCTAGAGGAGAAGGAGTCGCGGACGGAAGAGGGAGACCGCGAGCGACCCTGGCTGCTCTCTTATAAGGACCGCATGCCAATGAAGAGCCACCATCTCGTCGGGGCTGGGCTCGACGTGGCGACTTCATATCGTGCTCCCGGCTCGGGGCGTCGATAGGTCCACCACCGAACGGCGCCGCCCCGTAGTGGGACCGCCGTTGAGCGAGGATAGTACGTAGTAGGAACGATGGCACAGTACGTGGGTGCCATGGGTGGCGACGCCGGGCGACTGCTGCGGCAAGCAGTGCCGGCGGTCCGGGCTGCGCGCTGTGCCATGCTGCGCAGGACGAGACGAGACGAGGCGAAAGGTTTTCGTGGGCTCGTTATGTTTTCATGCGGCGCTCCCCGCGACTGACCCCCGCATGGCATGGCCCTGTCGCAAGGGTCGTCGCTCGGGTTGGTTGGGCCCCCTGGCGCGCGGCGGGCCCCCTGGTAACGAAGCCCTCTGGCGAGCCGGCCGCCGTCTCCACCGGCCAGGGAGAGCCCGTGGTGCCAAAGACTCTAACGCCAAAGTATCGCGGATTCCTGGTGTCAGAGCCGTCGCCTCCGGTGACACCGCAAACGAGGGGCCCACAGGCAGGCCGGGGGCGGAGGGCGGCCCTCGTGCGGCGGCGGCGCGTGCCCCGACCGACAAGCAGCCGAAGGCCCACGGAGGCGCTGCTGCTGCCGTTGCTTCTCTACCGCACCGAATTAATCTTAATCGAAGCGCGGTGCGGTGCGGTGCGGTGCGGTGCGGCGGCCTGGCGCGGCGAGAAAAACGGCACACCAGCGGCCCAGGCCTGGCCGCTCAAACAAAAAGAAGGCCCCTGCCGCTGGCTGGATGGCTGGCCCTTGGCTGGACCTTGACAGCCAGCCGCCTCTGCGTGCCTCTCCGGCCTCCGACTTGCCTCATCCCCCGCCACCTCTTCTGGCCGCCCTCTCATCCTGTTGCTCCTCGATCCTACCTCCTCTTTGGTCAACAGCACCACGAACAACAACCTAATTCAGCGACCACACTCGGGCAGAGCGACGCTCTCCGCACGACTTACCATCGCCACCAGCCACAAGCCACTCGGGCCGAGTCTAGCGCCGGCACCCAGGAGGGAGCCCGCCTTTCCGCGATGAGCTATACGCCGGCGCCATCGCCGCTGCCGCCGTTCGAGGCGCTGCACGAGACTGGCAGCTGCCACGCCCACCACGATCCCGTCACGCTCTCTCTGTCGGTCTTTCTCTGCGTCGGTCTCGTTGTCTCGTACCTGCCCCAGCTCCTCCGCATCATCCTCAACCGCACCTCGCAGGGCTTCTCGCCCTGGTTCCTCCTGCTCGGTGCCACCTCGAGCGCATCCAGCTTCCTCAACGTCGTGGCCCTCCAGTGGAATGTCGTACGCTGCTGTTCGGTCCTGTCCGGCGGCCAGTGCGCGGAGAGCCTGCTCGGCATCGCTCAGGTCGGCCTCCAGTGGCTCCTGTTCAACTCGGTGTGAGTGGGCATGCCGGGCCTGGATGCTTCGCTGCTTTCCTCTCGCCCATCCTCTCGGCTGACTCTCCTCCGCCTCCCTGGTCTGCTCTCCGCCCCTGGGCAGGTTCGTGCTGTACCTGATGTACTATCCCAAGGAGCTGCGCTACGAGCAGGCCATTGCACTGCCCGTCTCGGCCCAGGAAGATGCCGAAGCAGAGCAGGCTCGCGCCCGTGCACGCCGCGCCGCTCGCAAGGTGGCAGCGAAGCGGATGGGCCAGTCGACTGACGAGCGCACCCAGCTGCTCGACGCGCCATCCGCCAGCATCCGACGCAAAGGCAAGCGGTCAGGCAAGTCGACCGACGAAGACGTCTCGTCCGGCTCGGAAAACTCTGACCTCGACTCGGTCGACAGCCACATTGCTCAGAACTACAGCACCCTCAATGTACCCGACAACGGCGGCAACGACACCAGCTCCGACGAGGGCGAGAGGGACGCCGACGAGGCTGCGGTCGACGTCGCCGATGCTTCCGCCTTCCACAGCGACGGTTCGGCCTTCCGCAGGGAGACGAGCAGCAGCGCCTTCTCCCGCTTTGCGCCTGCATTCTGGCCGATGTGGAAGGCGCCCGCCTCGGGCCGCGGCGGCATGGATGCGATTGAGGAAGGTCGGGTCTCTGACCCAGCGCAGAAACGCCAACGCCACCAGGAGCTCCTCGCCGGCGCACCCCGCGGCCTGCGACGCATCGATACCGAGAGGAGGAACCGCCTCGCTGCTCGGCGTGTGCCCAAGACTCGGCAGCGCAAGACCGAGGAGTGGGGGCTCGCCGTGGCCCTGGCGTGGGTTGTGTTGATCCACTTTGTCTTTATCGCCTCGATGACGCTGCTGCTCGTCACATCGCTGCCGACCAACTCGTTCCCGCCGCCGGAAGAGGTGTCGATCTTCAGCAGCGGCAGCAGCCTCGTGGCAGCGACGACGTCGCACCACGGGTCGATGGCGCACGCCTTTGGACCTTCGTCGCGGCTGCTCGTATCGAGGTGGGCCGTCTTCCTCGGCACCTCGGCCGTGGTGCTCGCCATGGGGCAGTACCTGCCCCAGATCATCTATACTGCGCGCACGCAGCTGGTGGGCAGCCTGAGCATCCCGATGATGTGCCTCCAGGTGCCCGGCAGCGCCATCTTTGTCTACTCGGTGAGTGGATCGAGGTCAGATCGGGTCGACGCAGAGGTGTCGCCGCCTTTCTGCCGGTAGCCACCGCTGACCTTCAGACACGACCTATCCGCCTCTCTCCGCCCCTGCACAGCTCGCGCTTCAACCAGGCACGGGCTGGTCGTCGCTGGCAGCCTTCATTCTCACCGGCTTCTTCCAGCTGGTGCTCCTCGTCCTGTGCGTTGCGTGGAGGATCCGCCAGCACCGCGCGGGCATCGACGACTTCGGCCGTCCCCTCACCATGGTCTCGCTCTAGATCCAGGGGCTCAGGCGTGTTCCAACCCGTCCACCTTCGCACGCGCCGTCGGGATGCGCAGTGCCACCAAGGTCATGGTCATTGGCTGTCCGTTATAAACCCTCATTGAAACATTTTGCTCGAAACGGACTCGAATCGCTATATCTGCCCTCCGCCGCGCCCCATCACCACGCAAATACAGGCTTGAGGACCTCGCCGCTCTTGGCAGCGCGCACCGCCTCGTCGACCTGGTCTGGCCTGTACACCTTGACGGCCTTTTTGAGCACGTCAAAGGCGCCCTGCTTGACGAGGTCGAGCATCTGCGGCAGCAGCCGCTCGGGGATGGACGCGCCCTCGACGATGCTCGAGATGAGGAGGCCCTTGTTGAGGACGTAGAAGGCGTCGAAGCTCAGCTCGGTGCCGGCGGGCGGGGCGCCGACGACGCAGAGGTGGCCCTTGGACGCGAGCGAGTGGACGGCGTGGCGGAAGACGGTGCTGTTGCCGGTGGCGTCGACGATGAGGTCGACACCCTCGCCGTCGGTCATGCCCTTGAGCTTTGCTGCGGGGTCGGGCTCGCCGGGTCCATCGCTGGTGGCTTCGAGCGGATCGAATGCGTGGATAGCACCGGCCTCTAGGGCGAGCTGACGCCGGGACGCCGTCGGCTCGACGGCGATGATCCTCTCGATGCCCTCGGCCTTGGCAGCGATGACGGCTCCCAAGCCGACGGCGCCAATGCCAAAGACGGCGAGGCTGCGGGGTCGGAAGGGCGTCCCGCTGCCTGTCGCCTGGCTCCACGCCGCGGCATGGCACGGGATCAAGTGGTTGCGGACCGTGCCGAAGCCGGTCTGGAAGCCGCATCCAAACGAGCAGACCAGGTCGAAGGGCAGGTCGTCGGCTACCTTTACGAGCGACGTTTGGCGGCATATCGAGGTCTGCGCAAAGCTGCTCTGACCAAAGAAGCCGATCGCCGCCCGCTCGCTTCCCTCGCCGCGCTCGATGAGTCGGACGCCGTGCGGGGCGCGACCTTCTCCTCGCTCGAAGCCGAAGTTATACTCCACGCCGCGGGTGCACGCCGACGTGTACGAGTGTCGGCAGGTGGTGCACTGCCCGCACGCCGCAAACGTGGCCAGCACGCGGTCGCCCACCGCGAGCGGACCGGCGTACCCGCGAGGAAGCCGTCGGACGATGCCAGCACCCTCGTGTCCGAGCACCGCCGGGAACCTGCCGGGAATGTGGCCCGATGCGACGGCCAGGTCGGTATGGCACAGTCCGCTATGCGTGAACTCGACCACTGCCTCGTCGCTCCCCAGGTCGGACGTGTCGAGCTCGACTGTCTGTAGGGATAACGGCTCGCCCGGTGCCAGTGCGACCAGCGCTCGAGTGGTGATCTTGTCGGCCATGGCGAAGGTGGTGGGCGGCGACAGGTGATGGTCGAGAGCCGCATGCCGACGTCGACAAGAGCTCATACTACCGGGGCCCATCTCCGAGGTGGAGGTGAACGACGCTCGTCAAGCAGCAACGACGGCCGTCTCGGATGTGACGGGACTGTGTCGCGCGACAGAGGAACTATCGTCGGACCTCTTCGACCGAGGGCCAGCAAGCCAAGCCAAAAAGGGTTTGCCGACAGAGGGCCACCAAACTACGCCAGGGCCAACGCCGCCGCAGCTGCGACGTACGTGGCAGCCACATGGTGGGCCGCCTTCACTTCACGTACGTTTCGGCAAAGAGACCGAGCATCGCCACGGTCAAGCTGGCACGGCGGGCAAATCGCCGCCAAGATTTTGCGGGCGACGGCCGCCGTGGCCGAGCGGGTCGGGCCGTCCGCGCTGCTCCGCGCCCACCGCCGACGAGGAGCGGTCGGCCTATCCGTTCCGCTACGGTCAACGCCGAGCGCCTCTCTCTTTTCCCCGCTCGAGGTCATGCTTGAGGTCATGGTCGACGACGACGACGTCCACCGATCCATCTGGTCCACGACGACGGCGCTGTTCCTGGAGCTTGATGGACCGCGTGCTCGCTTGTGAAGCAACGTACGATGTACGGTACCTCAAGGGGCAGCGATCCCGTGCCCATGCCATGAAGCCGGCGAAAAAGTTATTCGGCCGGTGACGTCGCGGGCCATCGGTCAGACGTCATCGCGCTCCATTGTCTGCCCGGTTTTCGAGGGTCCCCCCTGCCGCCCTTGGCAGGCCTCTTGGCTGCAGGCAGGACCATAAAGGAAGAAATTGTCCGAAAAAGCCTGCAGCTTCGGGGGATTTTTCTTTCGTTTCCGGCGTGCCTCGATCTGACGATAGCGGCACGTCAGCCGCAGCATTTTCAGCCTACCGTCGCCGGCTTGTTTGCAGCTTCACAACACCATCGACAGCAACGCAGAACGTACTTTGGGTCGGCGGGAGCGGGAGCTGGCCGGGACAGCGGGAAGAGGCCGTCGGCGCGAGGCCTGGCCAGAGGATCACGTACGGCGTGGAGCTGCGCGCCGCTTGATCACGGTGACGACACCCCAGAAAGGCGGCAAGGCGCGCGGTGCGTTCGAGACAGGCAGGCGTAAGACGAGGCGGGGGGCGGCATCTTGGCTTGGCAGTTGTCGCCCGGCCTCGTTGCACTGTAACTACCTAGCCACCTCTCGTCGGAGCCTGAGCTCGGCAGGAGGGCGGTCGGTCGCGCGGTCATGCTGGTCATCCGCCTCGCTTTCCTCGAACCTGGCTGCATTCCCCGCCATCCTCCCCGCGTGTATTCTTGGGCATGAAAAGGAGACGGGGCGATGATGGACCATATGGGAGGCGCTAGAAGGGGCATCAGCGAGCTTCGTCGCGGGGATGGCAGCGGTCAGACCTGGCCAGGCCGTCGTCTCTCGGAGCGCGACGGCCTTCTCAGTGCGCCCCACTGACCTGTGCAGCGCTGTGGGCTAAGATCGAGGGGTGCAAACCGGCAGGAGGACTGGGGCGGTCAAAACGAGCGACGATGCGGATGTGCGGCCATCTGTCCGGTGCTAGACGCACGATGCAAACCGTCAAAGCAGGCAGAGGCAAGGCTAGGGAGAGCGGGTCGGGCCAACTTCTTCCTCGTTTCAGGCATCGACAAGCCTTGCTGGACAGATCGACGCTGCCTGGCAACCCAATCCCTTGAGCCCAAACAGCCCGACTCGGAGCGGCGCCGCTGCCCAATTCGGCCCGTTGCACACAACCCACTCTGTCGCATTCCGCCTTTGGCTCATTTCGCTCGGCGGCCGGACCTGCCCCTCTCTGCCCGCCTGCTTGCAAGCCTTGCTTGCTGGTCGGCTCTGGATGCCTGCGCCATCATCTCTGGGCCCCCGCGGCATCAACCCCGAGAAAGGGCCCAAAACGCAGCGGGGATCCCCTCTGGGGTCGGAGCCCCAAGCCCAAGCCCCCCTCCTCAGGCCGCCATGTGCGCGTCAGCGAAAGTACTTAAAGCTTAGGCCCTTGTCAAGCAACCCTTCGCGCGACACCCTTTCCCCCTTTCAAGGCTCCCTTCCGCCATCATCCACGGTAGCGGTCAGCATCCATCACACTCCTCTCGACGACGCCGCACCTTGCCTCGTCCACGTTTTCCCACCTTCTTTCTCCCTCCGACCGCACGACTACCGCCAACATGACCTTCACCATCCGTGGCACGCCGATCGGATGGCTGACCATCTTCATCGCCGTCCTGGCGTCGATGGGAGGCTTCCTGTTCGGTTGGGACACGGGTCAGATCTCGGGCCTCATCGAGATGGACGACTTCAAGGAGCGCTTCGCACAGGGCCCGCCCGGCGAGAAGGACTGGAACGTCTGGATCGAGGGCGTCATCGTCTCGCTCCTCAGTGTCGGCACGGCCATCGGCGTCATGTGCGGCGCCCCCATCGCCGACTGGCTCGGCCGTAGGTGGGCCATGACCGTCGAGTGTGTCGTCTTCTCGATCGGCGTCATCATCCAGGTCACCTCCTTCACCGCTTGGTACCAGGTCGCCATCGGCCGTCTCGTCACCGGTCTCGGTGTCGGTGCCCTCTCCGCCGCTGTCCCCCTCTACCAGTCCGAGACGGTGCCCCGACAGGTCCGTGGTGCCCTCGTCGGCACGTACCAGGTGAGTTGCCCCCCACGCTTCCGAACGCAGAATTGCCCGTCGCGTCACCTGTCAGGAAATTCGCCGCTCACCACCTCCGTCCTTCCCGTCGCGACGCCACATCGTCTCGCCACACCTCGTCCATCGTCGCCCTCTCGATCAGCTTTTCATCACGTTCGGTATCTTGCTCGCCTACTGCACCAACATTGGCACTCGGGACTACAACAACTCGGGTCAGTGGCGAGTCCCCATCGCCCTGGGCATCTTTTTCGCGGCGATTCTGGGCGTCGGCATCCTCTTCTGCCCCGAGTCGCCACGATGGCTCGCCGCTCGAGGCAGGAACGAGGAGGCCTACCGCGCCTGCGCCGCCGTCCGTGGCGCTAAGTACGGAGACGGAAACCCCTGGGTCGAGGCCGAGTACCAGGACATTATCGCCGCCGTCAAGCGCGACGAGCACCTCGGACAGGCGTCGTGGATCGAGTGCTTCCACCGCCCCAACAAGACCCTCTACCGCACCCTCCTCGGCATGGCCCTCCAAGCTGGACAGCAACTCACCGGCGCCAACTACTTCTTCTATTTCGGTGTCTCGATCTTCCGCTCCACGGGTCTATCGGATTCGTTCGTTACCCAGATCATTCTGGGCGCCGTCAACTTCTTCTGCACGTTCCTGGGCCTTTACAACATGGAGCGGTTCGGTCGCCGCAAGCCTCTGGTCTTCGGCGCGCTGTGGATGTCGTTCTGGCTCTTCGTCTTTGCCATTGCGGGCATCGTCGGCGGTCCGACCGAGGACGAGATCTCTCCGGGCGTCGGCAAGCTGCTTATCGTCGCCGCGTGCCTCTTCATCCTCGGATACGCGTCGACCTGGGCGCCGGGCATCTGGATCTTTGTCGGCGAGACCTTCAGCCTGCGCACGCGTGCGCGCCAGGCTGCGCTGGCGACGCTGTCCAACTGGACGTGGAACTTCCTGATCGGCTTCTTTTCGTCGCCCATCGCCTCGGACATCCATTTTGCCTACGGCTTCGTCTTTGCCGGCTGCAACCTGGCCAACGCCGTTATCGCCTACTTCTTCGTCTACGAGACGGCCGACCTGTCGCTCGAGGCCATCGACGACATGTACAACGACCCGACGTGCAAGCCGTGGAAGAGCAGCGACTGGGTGCCCGCCGGCTACGAGTCGCGCGACCAGATCAAGAACAAGGACGAGGGCCAGGCCGCCGAGGTCGGAGAGTGGAGCAAGTCGCCTTCGGCCATCCCCGGCGAGCAGGAGAAGAATAAGGCCAACCCGCTCCAGGTCGCGTAGGGCGGACACCCTTGCCCTCGATGCGCCTGCTCGAGCGTGCGCTGCTCCTCCCTCTCTCGCCGCCGCTCGCAGAACGATAACGGCATCATGGCCGTCCTGCCTCCCATCTGCTTGCTTGCATCTGTAGCATCTCCCCATCTCCTCTCTCTCTCTCT